AGTCTATTCACATTTGTTGTTATTGATACAATCAAATATTTGTCTGCTCTCTTACCTTTTGTTTTCTGTCTCATGTGAATTTTGTTCCTCTATCTCTCCTTTGCTGCTTTCTTTTACGTGAAGTGAATATTTTTAATGTAATACTTTAATGCTCTATATAAATGTATAAAATGTACCATATACATTTTAACTTACCAGAATCTGCTTTAGATTTATAATAACTTAATCCCAATGAGATAGAGAAACATGACTCCTACATAGACTGTTCCCTTCCCCCTCCCATGGTATCATACAGATTTACACATTATAGAACCAGCAATACATTGTTGTGATTCTTACCTTACGCAAGTTTATATCTTTTAAAGACTGTGAGAAGAAAGAGGAGCAAGCACGTACTTATAGCTTTCGTTACGTGAGCCTTGTTTCCCGTGTCCAGTTTTGCTCATTTGTTTCTGTGTGTTGAGTGCCAGTGTGGGGTCACCTCCTCGGGCCAGTGCAGGCTGCTCCCTCCCACCTCCTCTGAGCTGCTGGGCCCCTAACACGTGGGAGGTAATCACGCACACACTGTTTCACAGAACTGCTGTTAAACTCGTGCACGAGAGGAGAGGCCGTATCGGGTATATGACCTGCAGGTATTTTCTCCCATTCGGTACATTTTCCATTCAGTTGGTTTCCTTTGTGTGCAGCAGCTTTTCATCGAATAGTTGATCTAGTCCCACTTGTTGATTTTTGCTTTTGTTGCCTTGGCTTTTTGTGTCAAATCCAAAACATCATTGCCAAAACCGATGTCAAGGAGCTTATGAGCTATGTGTTTTCCAGGAGTTTTGTGGTTTCAGGTTTTTTACTCAATCTGAGTTGATTTTTGTGTATGGTGTGCTTTCAGTTTTCTTAGCACCATAGAAAGACTGTTCTTGTCTACGGCCATACCACCCGGAACACACCCGATCTCGTCTGAAAGAGTGTTCTTGGTTTCTTTGTCATAAATTAGTTGACACGTAAATAAATGTGTGTGTTTATTTCTGGGCTCTTTATTCCATTCCATTGATTTATGTGTCTGTTCTTATGACAGTTATTATCACTGTTTTGATTACTAGAGCTTTGTAATATAGTTTGATATTTTTCTTAAGATTGCTTTGGCTATTTGGGGTCTTTTTGTGGTTCCGTGCAAATTGGTTCTATTCGTAGATGGTTTGTTCTATTTCTGTGAAAAATGCCTTTGGAATTTTGGTAGGGATTGTACTGAATCTGTACATTGCTTTGGGCAATAGGGACATTTAAACAATATTAACTCTTCCAGTAAATGAGCGCAGAATCTTTTCTTTTGTGTATTCTTTAATTTCTTTCATCAGTGTCTTGTAGTTTTTAGTATATACCAGACAAATTTCAGAATGATGATGTTAATATAATAATACTGTGTGTATGTAGGGGTGGGCAAAAGTAGGTTTACAGTTGTGAGTATGTGAAACAGAGTTTATTCTTATATTATGTGTTTTTTCATACAAACAACTGTAAACCTACTTTTGCCCATCCCTGCATTCATAGCTTTCATCAGTATTTTGTTAATCTGTTCTTTCTGTTCATCTCAGATTGCATATTTCATTTTGTCTCAGCTCTTTGCAGAATGACCCAAACATAAAACGGTTAGGTGTTTTTATGGTACACTTTTCTCCAAGTTATATCAAGTGTCTTCTAAACTTCATTACTTCTTACTGCCCTCTTGTGATAGCTGCTGTTCTTGTTTGGAAACTGTCCTCGTTTCTGCTGTTGGTAGGGATAATGAGACCCTTGTTCAGTGATATTTCTAAGTTGGGGATTAGTGTGAGTCATTCAGCTCTGCAAAGCCCAGCCTATTATAAAGTCTGTAAGCATTAAATGGCGATGATGGCAGGAGTTTAGGTCTCCTGTCTCCCATGTCCGTGCTTGTCTTTCCTTAACAGTTCCTCAGGTGTCTCAGATCATAGCCCTCTTTCACGTCAAGCTCGTTAGTTTGCTCAGGTTTACATTTTTGCCACGTGTTATAGCTATGTTAGAAATTTTGAACTAACTGGGGAAGTCTCTCTAAACTCTGACTACCCAGTGGGCCAACAAAAGAATAGTAGATTTTCCAGATTAAACCTTTCTAGTAGTTTCAGCTCTCGTTCTAACCCCCATGTCTCATTAGTTACAAAGCTGTTTTCTTTAGAATGTTCCTGGTGTTTGTTATTTAAATGGCAGATCTCATTCAGTTACATGCTGCCTTTCCTCTGCTAGCATCTTTTCTTTCTGAGAAACTTTTGGTAATAGCAGGAAACCTCCAGGGTTCAGGCAATCGTTGTAATGGCCTAGGTTATAGATTGCCTTTTTTTTTTTTTAATGCTGCCAGGAAGGTTTATGATGATATTTGAGGGCTGAGAGTGATCTTTTTTTAAAAAAAATTTATTGACTATACTGTTACAGTTGTCCCATTTGTTTCCTCCCCTTAATCCCCTCCACCCTGCACCCACCCACATTACCCCCCTTAGTTCATGTCCATGGGTGGTACATATAGGTTTTTTGGCTTCTCCATTTCCTATCCTAATGCTTAACATCCCCCTGTCTGTCTTCTACCTACCATTTATGCTTCTTATTCCCTGCATCTTTTCCCCCCTCTCCACTGATAACCCTCCATGTGATCTCTATTTCTGTGATTCTGTTCCTGTTCTAGTTGTTTGCTTACTTTGTTTTTTTTTAGGTTCAGTTGTTGATAGTTGTAAGTTTGTTGTCATTTTATTGTTCATAGTTTTTAATCTTCTTTTCCTTAGATAAGTCTCTTTAACATTTCATATAATAAGGGCTTGGTGATGATGAACTCCTTTAACTTGACCTTATCTGGGAAGCACTTTATCTGCCCTTCCATTCTAAAGGATAGTTTTGCTGGATAGAGCAATCTTGGAGGTAGGTCCTTGCCCTGCATGACTTGGAATACTTCTTTCCATCCCCTTCTTGCCTGCAAGGTTTCTTTGAGACATCAGCTGATAGTCTGATGGGAACTCCTTTGTAGGTTAATGGCTCTTTATCTCTTGCTGCTTCTAGGATTCTCTCCTTCATTTTTATCTTAGCTAGTGTAATTATGATGTACCTTGGTGTGTTCCTCATTGGGTCCAACTTCTTTGGGACTCTCTGGGTTCCCTGGCCTTCCTGAAAGTCTATTTCCGTTGCCAGATTGGGGAAGTTCTCCTTCATTATTTATTCAAATAAATTTTCAACTTCTTGGTTTTCCTCTTCTCCTTCTGGCACCCTTATGATTTACATGTTGGAACATTTAAAGTTGTCCCAGAGGTTCCTAAGCCTCTCCTCATGTTTTTGAATTCTTGTTTCTTTATTCTGATCTGGTTGAATGTTTCTTTCTTCCTTCTGGTCCAAACTGTTGAGTCCTGGTTTTCTTCCCTTTCCTGTAGGTTCCTGTACATTTTCCTTTATTTCGCTTTGTATAGTCTTCATTTTTTCCTCTATTTTTGCCACTGTACTTGACCAATTCTGCATCATGATTACCAGTGTTTTGAACTGTGCATCTAATAGGTTGGCTGTCTCTTTATCACTTAATTGTATTTTTTCTGGAGCTCTTATCTGTTCTTTCATTTGGGTCTTTTTTTTTTGTCTTGGTGTGTCTTTTACGTAGTAATGGGCGGAGCCTCAGGTGTTCACCAGGGCAGGGCTGTGTTATGACGCTAATTGTGGGGTAGGGGTCCAAAAGGGAACAATGCTGCTTACTGGGCTCTCGGCTGGCTTTCAGTCCCTTCCTCTGCTACCCACAATCAAATTGGGCCCTTTGGTGCTGATTCCAGGTGGGTGGGTTTGTGTACGTTCTAGGACCCTGTGGGTCTCTCCAAGGAACTCTCCTGTGAGGCTGGGAGTTTCTCCCACTGCCTCAGCCCCACAGGTGTTTTCAGTCAGAGGTTTGAGGCTTTATTTCCCCGTGCTGGAGCGCTGGGTTGCGTGGTCTGTCTTGCTCCCCAATTGTTCCTCTTGGTTTATCTGCATACAAATGTGGGACCACCTGCTCTGCCAGCTGCAGCCTCTCTCAGTACGCAAGCCGCTGACTTCCTTGCACAGGTCCTCCGGCTACCGCCTTGCTGTGAGTCCTCTCTGCCCTGGTTGCCTGTCTTTGTCCCTCCTACCAGTTTGGATGAATGTTTCTTCCTTAACTCCATATTGGACTTCCATACAGTTTGATTTTCTGGCAGTTCTGTTTTATTGTTGTTGTTGTTGTCCTTTTGGTTGTGCAAGGAGACAAGGTGTATCTACCTATGCTTCCATTTTGGCTGGAAGTCTAAAATAACATCTTTAATATAATCAAATATGTAGTCATTGCTCACCTTCCTTTGGTTGTCTCATAAGAGATTTTCTCTAATTGTATTTGAATCAGGGTGCGAAGGACATCACACCTGCTGATGTTCATTAAGCCCTTTTAATTTACAGGTCTTGTATTCCTCCTCCACCATATTTCCCCCTGCAGTTTATTTGTTGACAAAACTAGGCCCTTTATTTTTATAATTTCTCACATTCTGCATTTTCCTGCGTGTGGGAACTTCTCGAATGTATCTGAGCAGGGTTCCCATTTAAAGCTTAAAATATAACTTTTATTGAGTGTTTATAAAATCTGTAAATTGAAGGGGTTGATTTCTATTCTGAAGTCCTCTGAGTTTAAGACTCTTACAGCTTTGATTATTTCAGTAGGAGGAAACAACTATTGAAGTAGGATACACTGGGATAGGGGTTGGAGATACCAGTGACACACAATTTTTTAGGTAGGAATTGCCCAGATTATCTTCTCAAAGCTCAATGAAAATTTACCCTAAAAGTATAGTCTGGTGTAATGGGGTTATCTTGAAATATTATATAATATCCTCAAGAGCTTGGTCTGTAAACGTGCTTTCTAATGTGATCCCTGTGTGCTATATATTTTTTTGGTTTTATTTTACTGCTGAGACTACTCGGGTCAAGATTTACAGTGACTATTGATTTGTCTCTAATGATTGCAGGTCGAAGATGACAGTGATGCAGAGACCCATGGAGAGGAGAATGATGAACAGGGAAATTATTCTAAAAGAAAGATCGTCTCTAACTGGGATCGATATCAAGACACCGACAAGGGTGGCGATGATGAAAGTGGAGAGTCTCAGAGGGGGACAGATTTCAGCGTTCTTCTCAGCTCTGCAGGTAACGCATTCCAGCTGCCCGCGTGCTGGTCCGTGCTGCAGCAAGTCGCTTAGACGTTTATGTTCCTTTTTCAACGGCATCTTAGTAACTAGCAATTCACCGTTTGCCCTTTGGATTTTAAATCCAAGTAAGGGACAGTGTGTCTGGTGCTTTGCAAGGAGAAATGGCGTTTCTTTAAGTGGAAGTCAGGGTTTCTGTGTACTGATGTAGATGTCTGAAGTCGTGGTTGCGGTGGATCAAAGTCTTCATAGAAATGAAAAACAAAATGCTGATCTAGGCCCCTCTCAAGTGAGCAGTCTGAGAAACAGCCCTGTTTTCTTTGATTTCAGATGGATTGGTGCTTAGATTTATAAAAAGCTTTACAGGTTTTCTAGAATATATGTTCTTTTTTTCCCTTATTTTGTAGCCAGGAATGTGTGTATTAGTGGATATGCACACATTAGACACATATGCACCTGAATACCAAAAGTTTTCTTTTTTGCTTTGCGTGGCCTTCTGTTTCAAGAGGGTGAAAAACATTCCTTCCATGACCGGCTGTGTTTTTAGGATTGACTTCACCTTGAGTGATGTGCAGCAATGCGAAATCGGAGAGTAGTTAGTTACAGAAAATTATGGGACAGGGCTGGTTGTACAGATGGCTACTTCCTATTGGGTGAGACTTAGGAATTTGAAGGATGAATGGAGAACAGATTAGTGGTTTTCAGGGGTTAGGGAAGGGCGGGTGGGAGGTCACTGTGGCTATAAAAGGGCAACAGTATGGATGCTTGTGGTCCTGGTACTGGTCATTATCTTGATGGTGGTGGTGGGGACACAAACCCAGGCAAGTGATACCATATTGAGTGGAACTTAAATACGTCCAGAAAGGATGGCAGATAACCTGGGGAAGTCTGAATAGGGTTGGTGGGTGCTGCCAGTGTCGGTATGTCCGTGCCCGGTTGTGGCGGTGTACGCCAGTTTCACAAAATGTGACGCTCGGGGACCATGCTCCAGGCATATGAGATTTCTCGGTATGCTTTCTCACAACTGCATGTGGATCTACAATAACGTCAATAAAAAAATTGCCAGGTTAAAAAAATGTAATGGATTAACACATGAGAAGCAGTGAAATAAAATGAAAAGAATGTTTTCAGTTTTGAATTCCCTCTTCCCCCTTTTATGTTGCTTCTGAGTTCTACCTTTTTTCCCATCTGCCTATATTTTTGAGTGCCTGAACCAGACTAAGACTCAAAAGTGATGAATTCTCTCCCAGTCGACTAGTTGGAAAAAAAGAGAGAAGTGGAGCGACTTAGAGTGTGAGTCAGAGGAGCAGGTTCTGTCTGGTGCCGTCATTTTTGTGGGACACGCAGTGTGACCAGCTTAGGTAGAGGTTGGCCGATGCCATCCAACTCACTGACAACTCAGGGGCAGGTGACTCATCTTTCTGCCAGTCAGATGAGTATTTTTCTCTTGTCACCGGCATTTTGGCCAATTAGAGGTTTAAAAGCACTTTCATTCAAGGTTGGAGAAGTATGAAATGCGTGCTGTTAGCTTCAGTTTTTATCAGTTCTGCTAAAAGATTTATGGGGAGCACCGAAGTAGTGCAATAAAATTATCGTGTGGACTTAATTGAATCAGTTGTTCAGTCAGCTACGACGGCGGTATCTGGCAGTGAAAGATACTGCCTAGAGCTCCCTTCAGCAGCACACACACTGGAGTTGCAACCAGAGGAGGAGAGATCAGCTTGGCCCCTGCACAAGGACGACATGCAGATTCCTGAAGCCTTCCATATTTTTTAATGTCAACTGTTACTGAAAATAAAGATACTGCATAAATATTTGAAAGTGATTGAGAATTCTAATCTAAGCCAGCAGTTATGTACACTAACTTATGATTTTGCTTATTTATTTTAGCATTTATTTATAACTTAAAACGGTGTGATTTGAGTCTCATAGGTGTTTTTTTGTACTCTCGTCGCTTACTGATTTCTGAAGTGGCTTGTTTATCTGTGGTGGGTTTCTTGGTACATACAGTGGTCACATCTTTTGATACATTTCTTCCCTGCTCTGCTACTGATTTATTATTTTCCTTGCACACAGCATAAACCTAAGACAGAGCTGCCGTGCTTTCTTCACACGTGTGGAGTGGAGCAGTAATACCAGTTTGCTTTTCAGAGGTGGAGGTTCATTCTGTGGCCATAAAATATTAAGAATATGCTCTCGAGAGGCTGACCATACTTCTTGGAGTGATTCTCATTTTCAGTATACTGCCCTTGTTTGTATAAATAAGCACACAGCCCAGGAAAAAATGTTGCTAGTTTGTTAGATGTGCACATCGCAGACTTTGTAGGTATTTCCAGATTGCTCCCCAAAGTGATGAGCTGTGACTGGAGATGTCTGCCAGTGTGTAGCACTCTTAGTGGTAGCCTTTTTAATTGTAGCCAGTTGAGTGAATGGTGTCGAGTTGTGGTTTGTTTGGCAATTATTTGAGCGCCCACTCTTTGCAGGTACTGTTTTAGAAGCTGAGGATATGGCAATGCACAGAATGGACAAAAACAAAACAAAACACCTGTGACACGGAGTTAACATTCTAGAGGTTGGAGGACACAATAAAGAAAAATATGTAGATCTTAAATGGTGATAATTGCTCAGGATACAGATAAAATGGGGAGATGCTGTTACAGTTTAGAAAGGGTGGTCAGTGAAGGTCTTACTGAGAATATGACATTTTGAATAAAGGCTTGAGGGAGGGGAGGGTGTGGGCACTGAGGATCTGTGGGAAGAGTGTTACTGGCAAAGGAATAGCAAGTTCAAAGGCTTTGAGTCTCTGAGATGAGCAGCCACTGGAGGATTTTATAGAGAAGAGTAGTGTAGCTAATTCATATCTTAACAGGATCCCTCTGGCTGCTGCTGTGCTGGAGTAACCTGAAGACAGGTGATGGGGGGGAGCAGGTAGACCAGTTGGGCTATTGCAACAACCCAAACAAGCGTTGTTGGTGGCTGTGGCCAGGGTGGTAGAAGCAGAGGTGGTGAGAGATGGTTGGGTTATGGGTCTGTTCCGGGGGAATTGCTCGTATAGGTCTTGTGAATGTGGGGAGTAAAATAAAACCAGGCACAGGTGTGACACCAGCTTTTTTGCCTCAACAGCTAGAAGAAGGGGATTGCCATTATTTGAGATGGATAAAACTACGGGAGGTGCTTGGTTTTGAACGTGTTAAAATTGAGATGCCAGCTAGACCTCTGCATTCATCACAGCTACGGAATAAATGGCACATGCAATATAATTAGAAGGAAAGTTCTAACAAAGGAAGCACTTACAAGGGTGTGGGTAGGATATAGGGAGAGCACAGGGATAGTACAGTGGCGGGGGCAGGTAACAGCGGAGAGGTTACCACCCCTCGTTGCCGGAACTCTAAAGGAGAGATTCACGGAGAGCGGTCTACCCTGAGAGGAGGCGTCACCTTTGGTCAGGAGATCTAGCCAGTGACGGTGACTCCACAGGGAGAGAGACAGGGAGTAAATACTCTGGTCTTTAACTCCCTTTCTCCTCCATTCTCCTGCCAGGGCTTCCCGTGAGCTTAGCCTACTGCAGGCCACAAGGCAAGGGAAGCCTGTTACTGCCATCCAGGGAGACATACACTCCTCGGGCAGAACAGGGAGGCAAAGCTTGGAGGGTGACTCTAGAGAAGCAAATGGAAGAGACCCGGCTCAACACCCACCACCAAGTGCCAAGTGGACGACTGGATGAAGGCATCCGGGGTTCAGCATCCAGGTCTGGGCTGGAGATACGCATGTGAGCGATGCAAGCCCTGAGGTGATGTTTAAAGTCGTGAGAAGGCATCAGACGACCAGGCAGTTATTAGCCAGAAAGTTCTGAGCCCTGGGTGCTGCAGTGTCTGGAGATGAGATGAGAAGAGAAGGAACCAGGGGAGGGGGCCGAGCATTTGGGTTCTCCTCCCGAGAACGAGGAGGCTGTGGCGTCTTCGTGGTTCCAGGAGGATGGAGGCTTGGGGTCGCATGCAGCTGATGACAACCAAAACTGATGGTTGAATTGGACAACATGAGGTTACTCGTGATCTTGACTCGGGGAGTTCTGCTGGAGTGGTGGGATAAATTCTTTCTTGGGTTTAAGAAGTACATGGGTTTAAGAAGTAAGCACAAATAACCCTTCGTTTTAAGGAGTTTTGTTATGAAGGGAAGGAGAGTCATCCTGAACTGTGGGGAACGTGGGCTAAGACACATTTTTTTAAGGATGGGAGATGTAGGTGCATGTTTATTTGTTGATAGAAAGATCCCGAAAAGGGAAGGCGTAATTGGGAGTGAAGTGAGAACTGCTGGTTTTGTGTTCCGCGGCACCCACGGAGCGTTGGGATTGATTTTGCAGGAGGAGGGATTGCCCGTGCAAGGCAATTGCCCGTACAGGTTTTCACCTGTAGTCAGAGAAAAGGCAGAACACGTGGGCGTAGACATCGGTAGGAGGGTAGATGTGATTGGGGCTCGTGGAGGTTCTCATCTAACTGCCTCTGTTCTCTTGGTGAAAGAAGAAAGCTGTGTGTGAGGGCCAGGGAGGAGCAGGGAGCGAGCAGGAGGTTGATGAAGGAGGGAGCAGGGCATGGCCGCTGGGTGTTTGTAGAAGAGGGCCACGGGAGCTGGTGTTTGGAGCCGAAGGTGAGAACGGGTATTTCTCCCTCATTCGCTTCTGCAGCACAGGTGCACATAGAGGGATGGACAGTGGGGTTTAATCGTGGTAACAGTTCATCCAAGAAAATGCAGTGAAGTGAGAGACACGAAAGCAGGGAGTGGAAAGACGGGCCCTGAATTTGAGCCGGGTGGGCGGGAAGCGCAGGCACGGGGAGGAGGAGGTGGGTAGTGGTGGCTGGTGTCCCCAGGGGGCTGCAGGTTCCTCTGTGCACAAGGGTTCTCGACCTCCTTGTAGGGGGATGACTTCCAAAGGCAGGAAGTGGTGGTTGCAAAGTCTGATGCTCGATGTTGACGTTTGGTGAGGGCCGGTTTGCAGATGTTAGTGGTGATATATTTTGGTTTGCAAACAACAGTGACTGGTGCTGGGCCCATGGTGGGGGGAGGGCGGAGAGCTCCGTCTGTGGAGGCTGGCTGAGCATTCTGTTTGCTGTTCTTGGTTTCTTCTCTGAACTGTCTGGACATATTCTTTGACCATTTGGCTTGTTTCTTACTGACTTACAGATATTTTTAATATATTCTTGGTAATTATCTTTAGATGTTTATAATTATAAATTTTTAATATGAAGCCTATTTTTACTTTTGTGATGGTGGCATTCAGTGCACAGTTTTACATTTTAATGTAATTTATTGACTTTGTATATTATGGTTTATGCTGTTTTACGCCTTGTTTGAGAAACCTATTTTTTCCTTAAGATCATGAAGTGTTTTACTAAAAGTTCAAATTTTGTTTGTTTTCTGAAGTATATTAAATTTCATTGGCTGCTATATATTTTCACAATCCTTTGATTTTAAAAAACAATTGGAGGTATGATTGACATGTAAAAGGTTAAAGGTTGTACAATTCAAGAGTTTGGGGATAAGTATACGTACACCTGTGAAATCACCACCACCACGGAGGCCACAGACATGTCCATCACGTTCCAGCTTCTTCCCGCCCCCTTTATTACTATTATTGTGTGCATGTGTGTGTGCACGTGTGTAAGACCAGACAGCATGAAGTCTACCCTTGTAGCAAATTTTAAGTGGACGGTGTGGCATTGTTAACTGTGGGCACAGTGTTGTACAGTAGGTATCTAGGGCTTATTTACCCTGCGTAACTGGAACTTTCACATCCAGTTTATAAATGTTAGTGAAGTAAGGTGGCATAATCACTTTACTTTGTATCTCATCTTTGAAAGAGTATGTAATGTTTTAGCTTCAATTTTCTGTTGTTCTTTATTAGTATATAATTTCTTTACTAAGTACAAAGTACAAAAGTAACCAAAGTTAGAAGTAAGTTGTCTGCATTGAACGTTTTGATGTTTATTATTGGACGTTTAAGTTCAGCTGTGATGTTACAGTCTTTCCTTTGTCAGTGTGGCTTAATCTAAGGAGCACGCAGAATGGGTCTGGATTCCAATGCTGTTCTGTTGTGTGTCTAGCCTGAGACAATAGTTTCTCTCAATAGGACATGCAAGAACAGGAAGAAGTACTTGATTTGATGATGTTGGCATCTTATCTGAAACTTATCGTTGGTTTTAGTTCTGCTTTAAATATAACCATGGTGCCTAGATTCAGAACTTATCTGATTTTTTGTTGTTGTTGTTAGTTTAATTAACTGTATTTAATGAAGTCAAATAAAGTGTAATTTTTTCCCCCTTGAATGTTAGACATATAATAGTTGCCAACAGAATTGAGCAATGGATGCCAACAGAATTTATATATCCTCATGTTTTCTGAGAAATTAGAAGTTGTTGGGTGTAACTGATTGTCGAGTCTGTTTAATGAGTAACCAGAGGTGGTGGTCTGAGTCTCTGAGCATTTAAAAGCGGACAGTTTTAGGTTAGTCATGAAATGAAGTCTGCTCCGCGTTCTCCCACTTTGCCACCTGCAGCTGTTCCTCTGATTTTCTCCTCATTCTCAGTGCCTGCCACGTGCCGTGAAGGATGGACGTGGTCCCTGGGATGTGTGGTTCAGACTTGGTGTCTCAGACTGTGCTGCGAACCGTTCTTTACACGTTGTTTTTTGTTCGAGTTGGCTGTGCCGCACGCACCCTTCTGCTGCAATTCTGAAATGCCGTTTTGGAGGCAGACCTCTTGCTGAGGGTGCATCCAGCT